GGAGGCAGTTAGTCTACTACTACGTGAAAGAAACCAGTCTGAAAAGGCTGTGTGCCGTGTGATTCCAGCTACACGGCATTCTGGAAAGGCAATAAAGATCAGTGGTCACTCGGGATGGAGGAGGGGGTGGAGGCAAACAGGCAGAGCACAGAGGACCTCGGGACAGTGAAGATACTCTGCATGACATGCTATGATCGACAGACGTCCTCGCACCCTTGCCCGAACACACAGAATGCACTTCACCAAGAGTGAGCCCCAGTGTAAACCACGGACTCTGGGTGTTCATCATCTGTCAGTGCGGATCCATCAGTTGTGACAAGTGTACAGCTCTGGTGGGGGATCTGATAATGAGGAAGCTATACACATGTGAGTGGGTGTGTTGGAAATCTCTGCACCTCCTTCTCATTTTTTGTGAACCTAAAATTGCTCTAAAAACATAAAGATTAAAATTTAAGAATTTTTTAAGAAACACAGATTAATATAGAAAATATAAACCCAAAGTATTCCACAAACATTTGATCTTAGCAGGAAAAGAAACTGCAAGTAACTGGAACTGCACTACAGAAGACGTATACTTATTTATATGAGTTACATTTAAATTTACACTTGAACACCTGCAAAAACGGGGCCTCCTATCAATGTACCTTTCTCATATTCAGGTTTCCCAGCCCCCGCCCTGTCTGTCAGGCTGGCTCCGACCCACCACTTCCATGTAGAATTACGCTATTGATCGGAGCGGTTCAGCACAGGGTAGCTCTGGTGAACGCAGACCACACACACGGCCATTTAACAAGAGCTCACGCCATGACAGCTACTGGCTGCCTGCAGTCTCTCCCCACTTCAGCAGCTAATTTCACCCATCAGTCATCTCCCAGCCATTTCCCTTTATCTGCCAGGTCAGCTTTCAGTAGTGATCACCACGGCTAAACAGAAACATTAAATAAAACGTTTTTACACTATTTTCAAATAGCTGTGCTTTAGTACTGAAAATACAACTTCAAGTGTCCTGTGTGAAACGGGTTTTACAAACATTGTAAGATTACTCAGTAACACGTCAGAGGGAAGAAGAGGCGAACAGCCCTAGAGTCACAGCTGCCAAGGGCTACAGTCATCTGGGAAAGAAAGAGCCTAAACGTCACACTGTAGCAGTTTCTGACCTGTTCAGGATTCAGAAAACATCTTCCTACAGAAATGGTATCAGTCAAGTCTTTTTGTATCGGATAGAATCTGTTCAAGACTCCTTATCCCCAAACCAGCTGAAATAATGCAGTTATACAATTGTAAAATGGTTAATTAAAAATTTTAAGCTCCGGGCCAAGGCACTGGAGGTGGCTGCGACACAGAAGCCAGCTTTACAGAGGGTGACACCTTCCTCTAAGTGGGCACTGAGGTGGGGCGAGGGGTTGTGGCAGCCCCTCCAGGCATGCCACTTCTGCCCTACAAGCCAGCTGGTGGCAGGGGGTTGAGTGTGGGGGGACACTAGCTGGGGCCCCAGTGTTCCTGGCCTGTCAAGACTGGGGCAGAGCTCTCGCCTCTGAGGGCCAGCTGGGCAGTAGAGGGAGGCCCAGGGCGCTGGGCAAGCCCACGCAGCCTGGGCAAAACAAGCCTGGGGGGCATCCTCCAGGGAGAGGCCCTGCCGTAGCCTGGGCACCGCGGGAGACGGAGCCCCTAGCTGCCCGGCTGCACTGGCTCGGAGAAGCTTCCTGCACAGGGAGCTGGGGTCACGCATGACTCAAATTCCACAGAAGCAATCTCTTTTTACCAAGGAAGATCTCTGGAAAATATTAAAAGAATGACTCTCAAAAGATACGCATCTGAATACTTAGGATTTATTTCAGGGATATTCTTCAGTGAAAAAACCTCTAGTGGTTTTCAACCAGGGCTGATTTTGCCCCCCAGGAAACTTCTGGAGACTTCGCTGGTTTTCACAGCAGGACTGGTGTGGGGCGCAGGGAGGGGCACTGACATCTAGTGAGTCGAGGCCAAGGACGTGGCTCCGCAAACTGCAGTGCGTGAGACAGGCTGCCGCAGAGAAGCGCTGCCCAGAGGTCAGGAGCTTGGAGGACGAGGCCGCTCCAGGCGCCTGTGTGTGAAGGTCGCAGCTGGCTGACACAGTGGGAAGAGCCGGTCTCGGGCTGAGAACCAGCTCCGTGACTCACTCTCTGCTGCTCCCTGTCTAGTTACTCTGCCTTGCTAGGTTTTTCATGTGCACAATGGGAAAGATAAGACTTACTTGGAGTCACGTTGTAAATCTTAAGAGGAGAATCTACTAAAGTCTGCCAGGACATGGTATACACCAAGAACTTATTAAGTATTTAGCTAATTATTCCTCAAATTTGGGGATCTCGTTAAGGCAGGATGTAAGAATACATTTTACACAGCTTAGTCCAGTACACCTTTGGAACAAAGTTCTAAAACTAAACAGGTCCTTGCAAACCCACATCCACACTGGCCTCCCGGGCCTTGAACTCCCCAGGGGAAACGCGCTCCTGCGCACCTGTGAGCACTGCCTCGCTCTTCCTCGGCGTAAACCGCATGCGCCCGGTGCGGCCCATGCACTTTCAACCCATCACAGCAGTTCAGCACCTGGAATGTACCCCACTGACCCCTTCACGTTTCATTCTTTTAATTGCCTACACCACAGGCATTAGAGTTGCCACCACAAATCTAGGAGTTTCGCAGTGGTGAAGTCACTTTGGTAAGATACCGTGAGATCAAGAGCTATGAAAAGATTCTTCCATCATGTATTGTATCAGCTGAAGATACACCTATGAGACCTTCATCTGATTTCACGCACTCTGAAAAATACTTCTAATTACATAAACATCACTCGTTATGTATCATCTGCCCAAAGATTTATGATATGGAAAATAACCAGCTGGTTTCCAATGGAAAGGAGTGCAAGAAAACTTGCAGTGCCAACTATTTTATAGTTAAACCCTTACTCACAAGATTGACGGCTTTCCTCCTAAACATGTGCGTGTTTATCCATGTCTTTGAGTGTGTGCTTTGTAAAGTACAAAAACAACGTAAGGACTGGATCCCAGACTCCGTTAGACACACACTGCGGGACGTCAACGCCAATGGCTCTGGTCCGGGTTTGCTTGTAACATACAAAATAAGAAAAGCTGAGACTCTCTCGAGTCTCTTACATTTCAAATACTGGTGTTTCTACAAGTGAAATCAATGCCTTATCTAGATGTCTGCCAACTTATTAAACACTGGAGACCACACACTTGCCTTTCTTTAAAGTAAAAGGATACGCCTCATGCTAAATATGTGCTACTTTTTAAATTAGGGGGAAGCGACATATTATTTATCTTCAAGCACAGTTAACATCAGTAGACTTGCAGTAATTGATACGATTTAGAGGGAGAACGAACTGCAGCAAAGCCAGAGATGGCCAATTGGACTTCTCTTGCACGAACTATACCTAATGATTTTTTAACAGCAAGCACGAGCTACAACTGATGCCGTCTAAAGGCTCAGTAAAAATGTATGACTAAATCGGTCTGCTTATATCCTATTACTGACTTCTTATGAATACTTGATTTTACTTGGTATAATTGACATGAGTTGACAGCAAAGGACAGGTTTAATGACAATCAAAGGAAGATCAGCTAGTGTGCATGCCACCCAGGAGACGGCATCGAGTGGGGATGCAGAACTGTCAGGGCACCGTGAGACAGCGCCCGTGAGCATGTCACAGAGCGTACTAAGTCCCCCTGGAATGCTAGCGGAGTGCCCCAACAGCTCACAGACCCCACAGCTCTGCAAGAGACAGGCTACAGTTCACGCCCGACAGTAGAGAAACAGACATCGACTTTGCATATGAAATACCAGATCGTTTGCCGTTAAACTTAATTTCTAAATCATTTATATGACTTAATGACTCTGCATGAAATTTTTAAGCTGCTGGCAAGATGAATAGCACCACAGAGAGAATGTGGGTGAGTACAGTGTCATTTACCTACCGCTCGCCCACTAACAAGTGACAGCTGAGCTATTGTAATATGTCCCAAACACTTAAACTATAATGTCATCACTTAGGAGACAAGTGAAAAAGATATTGGCATTTATAAGAGATTGATGAAAATTAGTTCTAAAGCATTAATTTCTCTTAATACCACTAAAAGAACTGTGTGCATTCAGGAGATATTTGATCTGAATTAAGAAACTGATGAAGCCATTGATTAATTGGAATTTAAGCCATCAGTCACCAGATCCATCAAGAGCTTCATTTACATTCTAAACAATCAGCTGACGGCCCGACAGAACACCCTGTATTAATACACAGTCAATACGATGCTGCAAAGAGACTCACGGAGCTGTACTGACAAACACCCAGTGGCTATTGTCCAAACCCAAACACGGCACAGATTTCAGACTTTTGCACCTGCCAGAGTTCAAAGGTTCTCATTATAACAGACAATGTATTATCAGGGTTTTTCTGAACAGAAATTGAAAAATAAAAAAATAATATTAACAGTGTTAGCAGATACACAAAAAATTCTGAGGATATGTACCTTTAAAAACGAGGCCAAGTAAAAACCTTACATCATCACATAAAGTCACACTAACAGAATGCCTAACACTGAGAACCCTTGACTGAAAGCAGTCGTGTGACACAAACTTTACACAGCTGGGACGCTGTCTGGTCCACTGTATAAAGAGAAGAAAAATTCCATAGAACAGTAATCTGACATTTTAACATTTCCACGTGAGTAGTTAGTAATTGTTTTAACCATTTAAATTTGATAGAAAAATAATAAAACTGAGTACTATAATAAAACCATAGTTTAAAACAGACCACAGTAAGGTCCTAAACTTGGATCCATTAATAACCTTCCAGGAATCTGTAAAATAATCAAAAATTGACACGTGTATTATGCACATTTTTTCTGAGGAACAAAGTGATAATTCTTAAGAGTCTCAAAAAGATCCATGACCTCCAAAATATAAAATATCATCAAACTAGAGAGAAACTGTGCCCACAACATAGAAAACAAAACAAAACCAGAGAAAAAGAGAACATTTTAGAGCATAATCGATTTGGACGTAATACCATCCACCTGAAGCAAGCACAGTGAAGCGTTCTCGTCTGCCTGATGCTCTGATACTCTACCGTGTTCTGCTCTCTTAACAACACCAGTAACAATGGCACAGCAGCCGAAGAACTTCCAGAACCTCAGCATGGCACTTATGTTCTCCAGCCCTCAGATCCCGCCTCTGAAAAACGGACATTTCTGACCCTCTTCCAGTTTTTAAGTGATAGATTTTGTTCATATTTTATCTCCTATACAGTAATAGATCTGTATAATCTACTTCTTTTAAGTTAATTACCTAAAGCCATTTCCACATTTAGGATAATAATCTTACACATATTTCTACCACAATCACTATAAGGGCAATTAATATAAAAGCATCTTCCAAACGCAGATATTTTTGTTATTCATTATGCTGAACACCTTTAGAAACAAAGACAAACAAATCGTAAAATAAGTAGCAATGTCAATGGGGTCGGCAGTGTAAAAGTCTCTGAAAACCCATTCCTCCATAACTGTAATGAGAATACTAGCAAAAATTGTCAAAAGCAACTTTTTCAGAACTCTGGAAACTAATCAAAGACTTGCAGCAACCCCAGGTGCATTTATGCAAGAAACACAGCTAAACCTAGCAAAGAGTGAGCCGTATGGTGTTTTGACTTGTCCCATTTTCAACATCCACCGCCAAGCCAAGCTCCACAGCAGCTAAGTAAGCCTACAGTCTCACAGCCAGCCCCTGAGGGAAGCAAACCGGGGCCAGGACTGCCTAGGGAGCTGTGATCGCCTGACCAGGTAGGGCTTGTCTGGACTTGACCCGACCCCTAGATCGTTCACTGTGAAAAGTGCTTCCCCAGGAATGTTTGCCAAAAACAGTCAGTGGCAATTGTTTACTATCACAGCTACCTCCAGTGGTGATAAAGCTGGAGTAAACAATGAGCCGACGAAAAGATTTGAAAGGAAAGCTGAAAAATCAGATGACTAACGGGGGTTTTCAAAAGTGCTAACGTGTTCCTGAGAGTCCGGAAGGCCACCTGCCAGCGCACACATGCCCGTGAAAACCTGAGAGGCCGAATCGCTCACGCCTGGCTGCTCTTGAGCTCCGCACAAGCAAGCGAGGGGGAAGGCAGAGTTGTTAACTGCTGCCACGGCTCTGCTGGAGTTAAGGGAACACTCGCTGTTCTAACAGACACCCTACAACTTTGGTACTTAGCAAACAGTATTCCTCATCATAGAGAGGCCATCTGGTAACGGAAGAGGAGGGGGCTCTGTTCCAGTCATTCAGGAACCGAGGGAGCCCTCAGGGAGCTCTGCCATCTTCAACAGGCGGCTTCCAAGGTTCCTGGTGGTGGACACTTGGCCAGTGCAGTGAAGAAAAGAGCAGACGGCTGCAAAAGAAGTTACAGCCAGGGCTCGAGTGGTTACACGTGACCTTCAGCCATCCTCCGTCAGCCATACCTCAGGGCGTGGCCCCATCTAACTGGACAGGAAAGGGAAATGGACTGGAAAAGTAGCTCTCCAGCCTCTGACCCGGAGGGAAAACAAACCTCCCGTTAAACGGCACACAGTGAAGTAAACGTACCACGTGTACAGGGGTCACTTAGTTATTAGGTATAAACTTTTTAAACAAGCAGATTACACAGTAAAATCATTGCTTTAAATATCAACAGTTAAATGCGATTTAGAAATTAATGAATTCAATATATTACCATCCAAAGAAAAATTCTTATAAGAATAAATTTAAATTTTACCTTTCAAAATGAAAATAAAGCTGCCAAAACAGCAATTATCAGCAATGTAAATAAAAGTAAAATACCTGCTTTTTCTGAAGTCCTAAGAAACACCATGTCTGATGGAACTCTTTGATTCTGCAGAGTAATATAAAATATTAATTATCTATATGCAAGTTTATAAATTAACATAATTCCCTTCCAAAGGAGAAATAGCTACTAAAAACAACTAAAATGTTATAATTCAAGTTTATGCTGAAACAATTAACATTCATAATTTATATAACAAAACTGAAAATTTTACTTCATATTTTAGTAAAGCCTCAAAGATTTTTTCCCATTAATGAACCACGTAAACAGCATTTATTGATCACTTGAAAACTGTTCCATTTATGAAAAATGTTAAATATTGCCACTTTTGTAGCCTCTGTTGTACCTTAACTCATACATATAATATACTAGTTATTATCTTATGAAAAAATTATATGCTCCTTATTAGACTAAATGACTCTTGAAAGTGAGGATAGCATTCTTCCAACTCTTAACACAAGACAAAGTGTATCAAAAACAAACACTTAATAAATGTTGAACGTATGAATAAACGTACAACTGTGCAAACAAACAAAACCCTCACAAATTTGAGGATATTCTTTTAAAAAGTAGAAAAGGAGAAAAACTCAAAGATAACTATTCATATATTTATTTAATCGTTACTACTATCAACGATTAGTATTACTAGTAAGCAGCATTAATTAATTAGTTGGGAAAGCTGTATCAAACTGAAGAAAAAATGTGTAATTATAATAAGAACACCTCACATAATTTCATGATTTGTATTTTTTGAGACCTAAGTAAAGATTTATCTCCACACAATAAAAAGAAATGAATTACTTGTCAGTCAGCAAGCAACATAAACAAATGTCGTTAAAGCTGAAAAAAGATACGTTGTAGAAAAGAGCCACTTATTTGTAACATGAAGAAGGTGATTATTAAGATCTGAAGAGCCCTCAGATTAAGGGAGAAATCAGAACAGAAATTAGAAAATATTTTTAACAGGATGGTAATAAAAAACATATCAAAATGTGTGGAACACAAAGTCAAGAAATATTAAGAGGAAATACACACGATGAAATGTATAAACAGAAAAGGGAGGCTAAAAACACACAGAACTAAATACCCATTTGAAAGCAGAAAAAAAAAACGCCAATGAATCCCAAAGATAGTAAAAGGATGTAAGCAAATATGAGAACAAAATTAATGACACAGAAAACAGACACATGTAACAGTAACAAACAGCAAGAAAGTAAACGTTTTCTTAAATACACCCATTTCGAGAATAGGAAAAAAAGTGCATTAGAATAAAACTGATAAAAGATGGGCAAGTCCTCTTAAAAGAAAACTGTAAAACATTACTAAAAGAAATTACGTAAGATCCAAGTAAACAGAAGATACCATGTTCTGAAATTAGAATATACAGTACTGCAAAGATGTCAAGTGTCCACACGCTGGCCTACACACTCAACACAAACCCAACCAAAATCTTAACATGTTTTTGGTGGGCATTGACAAGATATTTCTAAAATTTACAGGGAAATGCAAAGGCCAAGAATGACTAAGATAAGAGTGACAAACAACATGGAGGAGTAAGGCTACAATCTAACAGAACTAGACACTAACTAAACTGGAGTAATTAAGACATGATCATATCCACCAAGACAGAGAATCATATCAGTGTAAAAGGAGAGAATCTAGAAGTCGGCCCACACATGTATGGACGATAGATTCATGCGAATCTTGGCACTGCAGACCGATGAGGAAATAAATGGTGGTCTTGTCAATAAACAGTGCTGAGAAAATTAGACATCCGTGGGGGAATAAGAGGAGATGATGCCTGACCTCTTCAACTGAAACACAAAAATCTATTCCAAAGGAATTATACTTCTAAATGTCAAGTCAAAACAGTAAGATTTGAGAGAGAACACAGAATATTTCCACTGCTTTTTGGTAGAAGAGATTTCTTAAACAAGATTCCTTCCCACCACCACCAAACATTAAAAAAAAGAGAGAAACTTCCTATAAATGAAAAATTATTAAGGCAGACTTCACTAAAATTAAGAATGTCTGTTCCACAAAGCACACCAGAAAGGAAAAGATATTTCTAACATAGAACTAAAAAAGGACTCCCACCCAGGGTCCCTGGCGGCTGGCAAATTGATAAGAAGAGGATAACTCAGAAGAAAAACAGCAAGAGATTCTCACAGGTAATTCCAATGAGAAAGACATCCAAAATCATATGAAAAGGTGTCCAACTTTGTCAGTCTTCACAGAAATGCACATGAAAACCACAACGACCATGTAAATACTAGAAATGGTCATTCTAAAAGGCTGGCAATGCCAAGTGCTGGCAAACCTGGAGGACGGGGAACTCCTACTGTGGATCTGAGCATAATTTGATATGTCACTTTGCAAAATTATCGGCAGTAAGTACAAAGTAAAGCACACACCCCCCCAAACCCAACACGTCTCCTGCTCAGCGTGTATACAGCAGCAGCGTGTGCCCGTGTGAGCCGGAAGGCGTGGTCAGGCACCACAGAGAAGAATCCCTCCTAAAGGGCAAGAATTAGGGCGACCCCAACACCACCAACGGCAGAGCGGGCAACGGGCGTGCTGTGTCGCAACCAAGTGAACGAGTCACAGCTGCACACAGCCGAGTGGAAGACCCTCACAACCAGTGCTGGGCCAGAGACAAGCTCCCGCCCGAAAAAGCCCCGTCCCGCTGAATTGTCTAGGCACCCTTGTTGCAAATCAATTAACCATACACTTGAGGCTTTGGTTCTGGACTCTGAACTGAAAGCCAAATTAAAATGAAAGTCAGTTAAAATCCATGCCAGTTCCACACTGTTCTGATCATTGTAACTGTATGAAGCTCTGAAACGGAGAAGTGTGGCTACTCCGATTTTGGTCGTATTTTTAAACTTTTAGAAATTGCTTAGCTATTACTAATGTCTTGTATTTAGACATGAATTTTAGAATCAGCTTGTCAGTTTCTGCAAAGTCAGCTGGGATGTTGAGAGGAAGCAATGAATCTGCAGACTGACTGGGGAGGACTGTCATTTAAACAGTATGAGTACTTCTAACCCATGAACATGGGACATCTTCCTATTTATTAGCCTTCGTTACTATGTTTCAACAATGCTTTGTAGTTTTCAAAGTACAAGTTTCCTATTCTTTTGTTAAGTTTATTACTAGCAATGATTTTAGTTATAAGTATTTTATTCCTTTTGATGCTAGTAAACAGAATCTGTCTAATTTCATTTTTAGATGATTACCTTTTATTCTCTTATCCTGTTTTATTTCCTATGAGGCATTAATGAACAAACTACAGACTTCAAAACAATTATTGGATCCTTCTGATCTGTGCTTTCTTAACATGATATATCACGGAATGATGTACAACAGTTTCCCTGACCATCATCCATTCAGGATATCTGGCCTGTTTCTGATTTTTTGCCTACCGTGAATAATGCAAGCATAAACATTCATGTGCAGGCTTTTGTACCAACTTAAATTATTACTCATCTGTGATAAAGGTCCAAAAGTTCAACTGGGTCATATGACAGTTGTACATCCAGTTTTTTAAGAGGCTAATGATTTTCCAGAAGAACTATAACATTTCATATTCCCACAGGAATTGTGTGAGCGACCCACTGGCTTCACTCACTGCTAGCATCTGTGGTCATTTTTCATTGCAGCCGTTCTTCTCTATGCAGTGTATTTCATTGTGTTTTAATTTGCATTTCCAGGTAACTAATGATGTTGAATAGCTTTTTATGTGCTTATTTTCTATCTGTATGTCTTCTTTGGCTAAAGGTTTCTTTATATCTTTAACCCATTTTCTATTTTGATTTTATCTCATTGTTGAGTATTAAGAGTTTTTACATATTCTAGATATAAATTTTTGTGGATATATGGTTTACAAATATTTTCTCCTAGTCTGTAGTTTGTTTTTCCATCATATTCACATGTTCTTCGACAAAGATCAAGTGTTTAACTTTAATGAGACGCAACTTAGGCCTTTATACACTGTGCTCCTGGTGTTAGGTCTAAGAACTGTTTTCCTACCTTAGATCCGGAATATTTTCTATTTTTTTTCCTAAAAGTTTCACAGTTCACATTTAAATCCCTGGTCCATTTTGATTTAATATCTATATAAAGTGTTACATTTACATTATGGTTCATTTTTCACTCATGGACGTCCAATAGTTCCAGCCTCATTTGTTGAAAGGCATCCTTCCTCCACTTTCATTGCTTCTGCACTTTGTCAGCGCTCACCTGGGCATGTCTGGGTGGGTCCAGCTCTGGGTTCTCTGTACTGTTTCACTGGTCTCAGTTTCGCTCCTCCTTCTGCCCGTGTTAATTAACACAGCTGGGAAGTGCGCCTTAACAGTAGGAGACTGATTCTGCTCACTTCACCCTCTTGTCGAGATTGTTTTTGCCATCTTAGGGCCCGTGCCAAATTAGTTTTAGGAAAAAACTTATTTTGTCTTATAAAAAAATGCTCTGCTGAGACTGGGACATGTGTGTCTAAACATTCAGATACTGCTCAGGTTTCCTGATTAAGCCGGGAGACAACCAGTCTTTGGCATTTCTTTCTTCACCCTGTATGTATAAAGGTGCAGTCTAATCTCAGCTCTGCGACCAAACCCATAAAGTTCATAGGGCAGGACACCACACACGTGCTCGTCTGTGGTACTAATCTAACAGTAGGGAGTCGTCTACAACGTGCCACCCGCTGGACACTGAGATCACACACACACACACACACACACACACACAAAGATGTGCAACTACCACATCAAATGGAGACCTTCATCTGGACGTCTACGAGGCCTGGGTCACCCGCCAACCTTTCCTATTGACAGAGAGCACACCTGTGAGGACAGAGAGGCGCTGAAGAGGAACACCCAGACACGTGCAAACTTCTCTCTCACATCTACCTGCATGACTAGCAAGATGGCCAAGAAGGGACCCTGTGTCAGCAGGAAAACAGGGTGCGCTGCCACACCAAACTCAACAGCAAAGGCAAGAAAAAAAGAGAAAATAGGGAAGTAAAGAAGGAAATAAGAGATGAAAGAATGCGAAGGCCAACAGTACTCAACTGATTCACAAAGAGAAATTTCCGTATCTTAACCTTCAAATCCTTCAAACACGACACATCCTCTCAAAAGTCAAGAGGAAAACAGAAGGTGGTGGGTGTCACTTCGAGACTGTGCGTCCATCTGCTGGCACTGCACTCTCTCCCCTCCTGCTGGCACGCCAGCAGTGAGCTGCAGGTGGAGAGACTGGTGTGGCCAGCAATGAGGGCAGCTCAAGCCAGAAGCTCCTGGAATGCAGGCCCTGAATACAAAGAGGAATCAAGTCCTACCAGCAACCCCAAGAGCGAGACTGGCATCAGCTCCACCACAGTGGAGCCTGGAAGTGACGGCCACTGGGCTGACAACTTGACACACCTATACTGTAGCCCTGAGAGGGACCTGGAGCCGGGAGACGCAGCAAGGCTGCCCTCAGATTCCTGACCAGAGCAACTGGGAGATAATAAATGCTGGTGTTTTTTAAAAATCACATCAGCATTCACATGGCTTAGCCATCTTTCTCGTCAGCATTTATGCTGTAGAAACCTGCAAAGATATAGGTACAAGGATGTTCATTATAGCATTTTTCAATAGCAGAAAAGCGGAATCATCCAAAATCTAACAATGGATCAAAAGTCAGTAACTTACAGTACCCATATAACTGAACACTATGTAAAGAAGTTGCACATCAATGTTTAAATGTATCCCATTCTGTAAAATCAAACAAACACGCCCAGAAACATTCTCTGTGTACAGACTAATGTAACAACATGAAGACTACTTTAGTCTTGAGGAAGAAGACTGTTTTACTGAACATCTCCACAGGCGCTCAGACTGGGTAAGCTCCCACGTGGCTCCCCTATGGATGTCAGCTGGTACCAAGGGCTCAAACTACTTTGGAAGAGGTCTTACTAAAACCTGTCATTTAAAAAAAATTTTTTTAAATGTTGTTCTAAAGCCCTAAAAACAAAGGCCTCTGCATTGAGCCACTGTTACTCAGGAAGTCCGTGTCTCCTCCTTGAGTGCAGACAGCCCAGTCACACTCCAGGCCTGACCCACTGCCACCTCCGGCCGTTGTGGGCGTTTCTAATGGCTCTTTCCTACACTAACCTCAACTTGCTCTTTCTAACCCTCTTTCACTTCCATTTACCTTCGCCGTAATTAATTGTTTAAGCCATAAGAATTAATATCCAATAATCATGTATAGCGTATCTATCTGTAAAAAGAAGCTCTAGAAAATGAACATATTCTATTATAAACATGTTCTAACTAACACAATTCTTCATAGTCAAAAGATGTAATTCCCATAATGCAACATTAAACAGTTAACACATGTCTTATTTTAAATAAAATATGACTTTACCTACACACATTGAAATGCACTTTAGCAAAACAGACTATATATAAAAATCTACATTTTTCTTCATGTATATCAAATCTTACACAACGATGTTAAGATTTAAAATAAATGTCTCAAACAGTTTCGTTCAGATTCAAAAGTTACTTGCAATCAGGCTAAATGTTAATAACTGGTATATACATGTCTCAAATATATTAAAAATGCATCAACCTTTTCCACTATGATGAGGTCTCCAACTTGTATGTCTGAACTCTTAACTTGCACTTTACCTTAAAAAAAAAGAAGAAGTAAAATCAACTCAAGGAAACAGCAGCACAGCAGAGTTAGACTTGCAGTTGACAAATACAGAACCATCAACAATACAGTGTTTATTGCGTGGGCATTTTCATTTGAATGGTTTTAGAGCTTCCCCTGACAGAAGCAAGCTCTAAAAACAGGATAAAGATACCTGAGTTTGTATGCCAGTATTCAAGCCAAACGAGTTTGCCTTGAAAACGTCCCATTCCATTTACTGTCAAGGGCACACTCAGGACACCACACCTTGCAGGCCTTTTTCTTTTTGATCAGTTACTAGTGAACGTTACAGAGTAAGGTAACAGCCGTCCCCTCCCCTCGCTGAGCCACTGTGTTAAGCCTTCGGCTAAGTCTTCCCCCGACACGCACCCCCTGCCGCCCCGTCGGAAGCCTGAGGGCGGATGCGCGTCCTTCTCGCGGAAGGAGAGCGTTCCTCTAACTTGCTCCACGGCCGGCGTTTTACCAAAGGTCAGGAATCACTCAGAGCTACCAATCTTGCTCCCAAGTGTCCCAGCCGTGCGTCCTGCCACCAACCAGTCGCCACTCTCACCTGCAGAGAGAGGGTGCGACCAAGCTCTGCTGTGTCTCCGCCCTAATTTAACACCAACTCCAAGTGAGTGGGCTGGAAACGGGAAGGGGTTCACCCTCTCCCCAAACCCTCCCTTATCCGCCAACTACTCAGAAGACAATCAAGCTCGCAGCACGTGCGAGCGCTCTTCACAGCTGACCTCAAATCAGCTTCCGGCCTGGCCCAGCGCCTTGCCCTCTGCTCCTGCTCCACCTGGATCCGGCCCTCGCCGACAGCCAGCTCCTTCTCATAGGCTCTCTGCCCGGCTCCTCCTTTCGACTGAAACCCCTCTCCCTAGCCTGCCTCACTCACACAGCAAATGTGACCTCACAAAGCCTCCTTCACCTGTGTTTTCTATACACAACGTACTTAACGTGCTATAAATACTCAAGCATCTGAGTGTCCACCCGACTTCAGAACCTGTACCCTTTTAAGACATTTAGTCTGTTCTTCACCAATGCATCCAAACGTAACACATTTTAAAAGAACAGAAGGAGTTTATAATCATTCTATTCCTAATCAGTTAAAATGGGTCAAACGTCACAATGGATTAAAGAGAACATAACCGCATAAGCCACATCTAACTAGACATAGATATTATCAAATAAGGATAAAATGTATTAATTACTTATTTTCCAACAAAACACACACAAGGGGACAGGGTAAGAGTGGGAGATAATTAAGCAACTTTTAAAGGAAAGACTCTGAGCACAGGTAAGGCACACTCCAGAGGGCCGACACCAGATCCACAGGTACTGCTTCCCGGGCAGACGCCCGCCCGCTTCACCAGAGGCCGTCCTGTCCGGCTCGTCTTCATGCCTGAGTGGGCGTCGCACTCTCCCCCACTCTCCTGACACTTTAAGTGGGTTTGGAGGGAGGAGACTGTTTACAACAGACTTTGAAGCCAAGTGGGTAGTTAGGAAACAAGTTTTGTATTACATTATAGTAGTACAGTGTATTATAGTATATTGTATTTTAAGAGAAACGTATACTCTAAAAAAAAATACTGCTGAGAGAAATTTCGAAACACCTAAATAAAGGAAGAGATGTATTTCATTCATGGATCAGAAGAATTAATGTTATTAAGATGTCAGTTCTCCCCTAAATTTATCTATAGATTCAATGCAATTCCAATCAAAATCCCAGGAGGCTTTTTAGAACAGAAACTGACAAACTGATTCTAAAAGTCATGGAAACACAAAGGCTCTAGACCAGCCAAAACAACTCTGAACATGGAAAACAAAGCTGGAGGGCAAATACTACCTGACTTCAAGAATTATTCAAAGCGACAGTAATCACAAGAGCCGGTATTAGCAAGAAGAGAGCAAACAGACCAACAGAGTGAACAGAGTCCAGAAATAAACCCACTCACGACAGAGAACTGATTGTTGACAAAAGTGTAAGGCAATGTGGTGGGAAAAGGATCACTTTTTTCAAAAAATGGTGCTAGGAGCAACACTGACACCTTGTACCAATACAAAAACTTTACTCAAAAGAGAGATGTACCAAAAAATGTAAATCCTAAAACCAAGGAACTAGAAGAAGAAACATCGGAGAAAGTTAACAAAATCTCTGTGAGCTTGAGTTAGGCAAAGAGGTCTCAGATAGGAGATCAAAAGCAAAAAATAAAGGAAAAAAACTGATAAACTGGGCGTCATCAACCAGAACATCAAAGGGGCAAGAACAGCAGGAAGATTTAACATCAATGAACTCGCGGCTGAAAAACAGCTGGAGTCATGTACAAAAGGGAATAAGCTAAAAAGAGAGGAAGGGACCCTAATTCCAGGTCAAGTGGCCCTAAGGCCACAGGAGAAAAACAATGACCATTTAAGAGGGCTGCAGGGGCACTGCTTACAGCAGCCAAGACAGGGGAGCAACCTGCACGCCCACCGACCGACTGACGGCTGGATGAAGCAGCTGTGGGTATTCAGACAATGGAGTACTGCTCAGCCACAAAAAAGAATAAAATAAGGCCATTTGCAGCAACCTGGATGGGCCTGGAGATCGTCATGCCAGGTGAAGCAAGCCAGAAAGAGAAAGAAAAATACCATATATCACTCATGTGGAATCTAAAAAAAAAAAAAAAAAAAAGAAAGAAAAAAGAAGACATGAATGAACTCATCTACAAAACAGAAACAGACTCACATAATAAACAATCTTATAGCTACCAGGGGGAAGGGGATGGGAAAAAGATAAATTTGGGAGTTTGAGATTCACAAATGTTAACCACTATACATAAAAATTGACACAACACAAATTTCTTATGTATAGAACAGGGAACTATATTCAATATGTTGTAATGACCTTTAACGAAAAAGAATATGAAACAAATATATGTATGTATATGCATTACTGGGACATTACGCTGTGCACCAGAAATCAACACATTGTAACTGACCGCACTTCAATTAAAGAAGGAAAAAAAAGAGGGCTGCAGAGGAGGCAGGACCTCAGAGAAGAGCCACGTTTTAATGAAAGCAAGAAGGAGCACTCAGAGGGGTCTATTGATAGAAAGGTTCAGATGACAAAGGGACCTGAATTCCAGAGGCACAGTGGGAAAAGGGCAGGGGTAAGAATGAAGATGTACCATAACTCGTGGTAATTAAAATGCCGAAGGTGAAGAGTGACAAAGTCCGAGACATGAACAAAGACCAAGGTCCCCGAGGCCAGTCCCGGGGCATGCAGGGCTGGACTGCACTCAGGCTGGGAGGCCAGAGGGCTCAGGGCTCCACTGTGACCCTGGCTGAGGGTGGGAGGGCATAGGCTACCCCTGACCTCTGAGGGTGAAGCTGAGGTCACCAGGATTTTCTCGAGGGACATGGACACCCTCCCAGATACCTGCTGGGGACAAAGTGGGACAGGACAGGCTGAGGTCTACCCTCATGGAACTTATATCCTACTAAGATTCCATAAGGCAACATGGCAGAAACCACACCAACAAAGGGACTAGGAAATAGAAGAAGTACCACAGCCCAGAGGGGAAGGACCACAGAGTACCCTGCCCAAAGTAACCGGTTTCACTCCCAAACATCTACTGCCAATGACCAGTGTTTTTTTTAAAACATTCTCCAGCAATAACAAAAAAATTAAGATGCTCAAATTAAACACCATCAGTATTTTTCCTTTTCTATCAGTAAAAAAGAGTTGGACAGCTCTAGAAAAAATACTGCAATAATGAAATATTACATTGTGATAAGAAATATGTAAAGGTAAAACACCGAATGCTGTTCACTAGATAAATCACATCAGCCAACCAGTCCCCGCTGAACGACCTCACTGGCCAACGCAGTCGGCACCATCGGTGTCATTACCAACAGAGGTCAGCAGCTGCCCGAGGAGGCTGCCCCTGCGGACTTCACAGCCCACCAGCGCGCACATCTTTCACCTAAAGTTTTATGCAGCACTAAGCACTGGAATAAGTATCAACAGTAATTCACTGCATTCACCAGATAAGGATTTTGCTGAAAATTACAATGGTTCGAAATTTTTAATAAGTATCTCAAATATTAAATATTTTATCAACTAACAGATACAAATGGAAATTATACGGTATTATTAGGGAAAGGATACCCTTCAAAGTCTTCATTAAATCCTTTCTTATTTGCATAAAAGTAATTTCTAATCTGTCTTTTCTGTAGTCACACAGACTTCTTAAATATCTACCAACAGTTAAGATACAAAATACTGTTAATTTAAATGATTCGTAATCAAATTCTAAGACTCTGAATCACTAGCATCAGAAGTACAAAAAAAGCAGTCTTACTCTCTCATGTGCTTACAAATGTGTAAAAATCCAAACGTCCTGCTTGAGTGTATACAGTTATGTTAGAATTGAAAGAGGTAGGAGCCAAACACAATTCAAAACTGCCCCCAGTCTCCTGTGTCCCCTAGTTCTGCAATAACCCACGTGACAGCGGCTTCCTTCTCAAACGCTCCTGCAGGGAAGTTGATCTGACGCTCGGGAAGACGGGAGACCAGCAGACGGAGATGCAAGACAGCTGTGCGGGCTGAACGCAGGAGCGGAAGGGAAAGCTCCCAGTCATCGCATATTTATAGTGTGTCAAGAGAACACAAGAGAAAAATGAAAAATACAAACAACTGGTAACGGGAGGGAAGGAGGGAGGAAGGGAGAGGTTTCCCATGACAGCAGAGTGTACCACACAGAGACACCGTTTAAAACTGGTGCGGAACCGGCAGGGAAATTTGGATGAATCAGTGGAGCAGAACAGAACGCAGAGGAAAGGGCCCACACAAATCCAACATATTTCTCAACGATCTGAGGGAAGAAATTGAGTAACTTCAGTAACTGGTTTTAAAGTAACTAACTGAGCATTTGAGGGAAAAAAAGTAGATCCCTTCTCCACATAAAACATACTTTACATGTAAAATTGTAAAAGGAGTAAAACTAGAAACGCCATGAGGAGGTTAAAACATCCACCTGCACTGGGACTGAATGGGCTCTCTAACATGGAAATAAAACCATGAACGAAAAGATCATTAGATCCGCCTACATAAAAATTATAAATTTATCTACACCTCAAAAAAATTAATCAAACAAGATAAAAATATTTGCCACATGTGATAAATTTATCTAAGCAGAGAAATGATAATTAGGTAAAGATGACCATAGGAACAAAGGGTGAATAAATTTTCATAAAAGTTAAGAAACGAACAGTGAAGTGTTACAGGTGAGTAGCAAGCAAACACAGTGAGAGCATTTTCCACCCCAATGGCAAGTTAAACCTGCTCCATCCCAGGGGGGCAGGACACTAGGAGCCGAGGGCCAGAGCCCTCCCGGGCAATCCCCGGGCAGCACACATCAGGCTGACGCTCTTCCCACCTGGTCCAGAGGCTCCACAAGCACTCGCTCACTCGCTCACTCACTCACGCGGCAAGCTGAGCACCTGCCATGGGCCTCAGAGACAGCGCGAGAGCACGGAGCTGGGCGTCCAGTCACTAAGAGCAACCAGCAGAGTAATTAATGCCGACCATGGAGGGACGTGAGGGCACTACCAGACACAGAAGTACATGCAGCGCCCAGCTGTGGGACAAGGTACTGGTGCGAGCCACCATTTTTTAAAGTTAGGTCACACAGGTTCCAGGCCCTAAAATCCAAACAATGTAATAAAAAATGTTAAAAGTTTAATAGCATGAAGAAATGAATTCATACACGTCTTCCCAGGGTGACCTAAGAAAATGCTGACTGTGCTTAATGAGGGTACGTATCTGCTTCCGCATACACACGTCCAGACTGAGGAGACATACCCACCCCCACACAGCCTCAGAGAACTCAGCCCATGAGACAATAACTCCGAAGCGTCTGTGCCTGGCAAACACCACTGCGGAGCGAAAATGCAGTAACGTATGCTGATGTTCCTCAACGAATACTGGGATGGATGACTTTAACATGCTGCTCAGACCAGGCGAGAGGGAGGTTAGTGTAAATGACAAAGTGCACAGACAAAATGTAAACAGCACTCAAGAGGATTTTAAAATCTCTCGATTTTCAAGGAATAATTATGACTCACAAATGGAGCAAATTTCAATGAAAGATGACAAAATTTCATTGAGACATTTCATAAAAATCTTTCTAATGTAAATAGAAAAACAGTAAGAACGTTAGCAAGTGCAGGACAACACAGTGTGGATGACATGAATCAAAGATGCTAAAACACACAGGAGTAAAGAAGGTCGACTCTTCCTGCGCCCCGCACAGGTCCACAAGAAACATGTAAACACGCAAATGTTCTCTCCCACGTTCACACACACACGTAATCAACATAAGGCTCGAGGCACGGACACTCTCCTCTCTGTCCTGTGTTTGAATACCTGAAAGCATGTTAGACAACACACGGCCAAAACGAGCAAAGGTAGCCAAGACACACTGGAAAGCAGGAAAACAACCATCGGCAGCTGGATGAAGCCTCATGTTAACTTCGGGTCTAAACTTGGGAAATGCACTAACGGCGAGTGACTTGACAGTCCTGCTGAGGTCTGGTGGCTGATTAAAACACAAACAGAGCAACGAAGACCTCTGAACGCATCCTATCTGCTAAAGCACTGAGGACATGCGCATTCTGAGAATGACCACCCGGTAACTCAGGAAACGAGGCGTCTCCCCTCTTCTGGGCTTGTTTTGTTGCTTGGTGTATGCTGCAGTCACGTACATTTAGCAACTTTTCTAAACTATTTTTGTGAGGCATGTGTACTCTTTGTCCTGTATGGTCTCTCAAGGCTTTCTTACGCTAGCCTGTGTTCAGCCAGAGTTTGAAAGAGATTTCCTTGCAGGTGAGGAGAAAGGGAGGGAGTGGAGGGAGGGAGGGAGGTGGGGAGAGAGGGAAGGGGACGAAGGGAAGGGAGATCGTCTCCCAGCCTTTGCAGACGGAGGCTCTGGGCTGGGCTTCCGACACTGGGTCAGGGTGTCTACAACTCCGCCTCAGCCTTCACTTCCGCTGGCACCGAGCCCAGAGACTGGTAAGAGGGCCTTCGCGGGTCTTTTCTGAGCGGGCACCCAGCTCTGGCCTTGAATGTGGCTTTCAAAATTCCCCAGTTAACAGGAGCACCTTTCTCTCTCCCCCGCGTTTCCTGCCTGGATTTGACACTGCAGTGTGTGTGTCCCAGCTGTAACCTTCCCTGGCTACTGCAGCTACTCCTCAGCCTCACAGAAGAAGAAATGCCTGCAGCATCTTAGCTTTCCTGCCCTGAGCTCCAAGTTAGGTGAAAGACAGACGAGTAAACTGGGTCAGTCCTTCAAGCAGCCCCAGACAGCCTGGGCAGACAAACACAGTCCTCTGCAAGGGAGCTCTGCTCCATGTCCTTCAGAGCCAGGGCCCAGGGGCCCCAACCCGGAGCGAGGCTGCTGCTGTGTTCAAGACGGTGCCACGATGGGGAGGCGGGCAAGGGCAAGTGAGAGCACCAAACACTTTCCTACTACTTTTAGGTCACCTCTTCCTGGAGGCAACAGTCATGTCGAAGCTGTGGAGCTCTGACTGAGCTAGTTTCGCCAGTTTCCGCTCGATCTGTGGAGCTGCCTACTCTGTCACGTTTGCTGACGTCGCCACACCATTTATTTCTGAATGATACAGTCAGTACACAGAAACAAGTCTCTGCTCAGCCCAAGTGCCACAATACAAAACAACTTACAATACATGCCAGGGTCTAAAGCATATTCTAAAGAAGACAAACCAAAATGACACCTAGCTGACCTGGCCATTCTGGGGATTCTTCTCCCCGAAACTAAAGCTCACCTATTTTCTGCAACATACCTTTCCTCTACTGCGCCACTATCTTAAGCATCAAAGCTTGTGAATAATTAATTTTTCAACTCGATTGAAAAAGACTAATGTTTTCAACAAATGATATTGGGACAACCTGGCATTCACAGCAGAAGACTGTGAAGCCACACCACACACCATACACAAAATACGAAATGAAAGGGGACCACAGATCTGAATGTAAGGGCTAAAGCTATAAAACTCTCAGAAGAAAATATAGAAGTAGATTTCTGTAGCCTTGGGCTGGCAGACTGTTTTCTTAGCTACAACCCCAAAACATAAGCAACAAAAGAAAAAAACAGAAAAGCTGAACTTCATGAAAACTAAAACCTTTTCTGCATCAGATGACGCCATCAAGAAAGAGAAAATACAGCCCACAGAATGAGACAATATATTTCCAGATCATGATCTAACAAGGGACTCAAAGCTAGAATATATAAAGAACTCCTACAAATCAATAATTAAAACAACTAACCCAGTTAAGAAGTAGGCAAAGAATCTGAATAAACGTTTCTCCAAAGAAGACATACAAACTGCCAACAAGCACACAAAAAGATGTTCAGCATCATTAGTCATCAGGGAAGTGAGATACTGCTCCGCACCCACTAGGACAGCTGCAATCAAGAAGTCAGACAAGAACAAGTGTTGTTAAGATGTGGAGAGACTGCAACTCTCACATGTTGCTGGTGAGAACATAAAATGGTGCAGCCAATTATGAAAATACTTTGGCAATTCCTTAAAAACACGGAATTACCATAAAATCCAGTAGCTTCATGCCTAGATACATACACAAAAGAAATGAAAACAATATTCACACAGAACTTGTACACAAATGTTCATAACAGCATTATTTACAATAGCCTAACAGTAGGAACACCCTAACCGTTCATCCACGCGGTGTGTCACATCATTTGGCAACTACAGAAGCCACGTACGGTACAAGCTCCACCGTGAGTGACCTTGCAAACAGGATGCCGAGCACAGCAAGCCAGTGGCAACAGTGCACACACTGCATGACTGCCCACACGACTGTCTAGAGGAGGCGACTCCGCAGAGACACAGCACATCAGTGGTGGCCGGGGGCTGCAGTGGGGCGGGGAAGGGGCAAGAGCGGGAAGCAACTGCTACACAGATTCAGAGCCTCTCTCTACACAGTTACAAATGTTCTGAAATTAGATGGTGACGGTTTCACAACCCTGTGGCTCTAACAAGACCAACGGAACTGTATACTTTAAATGGATAAATTTTATATTATATGAAAAATATTCCAATAAATTGTAAAAAATTTTTTTCAACAAGATTGTTTCAAATAAATAATTCATTGTACAAATGTCCACGCATAAACAAAATACAAAATCCACTCGACACTTCTCCATTTTCAAACAGGCTCCGAGTTATTATGAGTATCCATTTAGTCTGTCAACACCTCCCTCACTGTCAAGGTTCCACTGTCACTCTCCACCGTCACCGACTGACTGCAACAGCTTCACCTACTCTCTTCCCAGCACACTGCCCCTTTTCTATAACAGACTGAAAGCCAAATGAACAGCTCTCAAAAGCTGATCTAAGCAAGGGTTGAAGCCCTGAAAGGTTGCGGGGAGCTGGCAAACGTCAGTCATCACTTGGAACCACAACATTTGTTTTAGGGGCTCAAAGACCTTTTCCTCAAGCGTAGTTTAAGGCCATGGCACCAGATGTCCGACCTTGATGACTGTGTCCAAAACACAATGCACAGAGACTAGAAGAAGGGATATTACGCTTCACAGAAAATGTGCACACCCCAGCTGGGCTTCACGTGTCAGAGCACACACGCATTATACACAAACCGTGACAGAGCACAATCTATAAGTATTAGTGTATGTGTGTGTGTGCGTGGGTGTGTTTAAGTGTGTGTGTACATATTTATATTCATACATACATACTTCCAAGCATCTACAGAATGAATAAAAATCTATCCTGATTTTTGCATTATAAGGTTATAAGAAAATTAGGTAACAGTCACTTAAAATTATTTTCAAAATAAAATTAAGACGTTTTCTTGCATCTAGGTTTACTCTGAAGTGATGACTACATTAAACGATGATAAACTGGATTGAAAGTGTCTTGCTAACCTCTTACTGTAAGCTTGCTGTATAGCTGCGAATTCACTTCCTTGTCTCGCTGAAAACGCCGGAATTCATCAACTGCTTCCCTTGTGATAGTAACAGCCAAGACAAACCCCTATGAAACAAGGAAAACACCGTATTTGAGGAAGTAAGGGAAAATTTTACTATTTAGTTTTATTTTTTTCTTCAATTTATATTAGTTCTAAAATATAAAATAAATGAGAAGAAAGATAAAAAGTAACAAATACTACAAAAGGAACATAGCAATGCACAGTAAAAGATTTACAATTTTTACTAAACCTGAGAAAATTTTAAAAATTCACATCTTAAAATGTACTTCAAGCTAAACATCAGAAAATACTTAGTAAACCCCCAAGAAATTATTTTCAATAAACCCATGAATTACATTTAGAGCACTCAGGTGTTCAAACATCAAATTAATAAAACTACCAGAAAAATCGTGTGCTATCTGCACTTAACTCTTTCCGACAGAACGAAAGCAGTTAGGGACACAAGACAGCGCCCCGGTGTGACACTTGCACGCGGTTCGTCCACCACGTGCACCACGCCGCCGCTGCCCCGGAGGGCACAGGTGCGGTGCTCTTTTTCACTCACTGTTTAAGTAAAACCTGAATAGATTTGTCTGATGCTACTGAAATAAACTTTGGTACGCTTCTAATCCATTGTGAAATCTGTTACACCACTAGCACATGGCTAAAGCCCACCTTCTTAAAAGGCTACACGTGTATCTTCTGACACATAGTACAATAATGTTCTTCACGTCAGTCTCCCTATGATTACAGAGACCCCTTCAGTAGGCTTCACATCACTGACAAACGTGCTCCAGTCTGCTTCGTAAATGATACAACACTGGATGAACTTCCATTGAAAATACAATAATCTGTTATTCTAGGGTTTGGGTTTTTTCTGTATAACCAACAGGCTAGATTAAGTGGGTTGTCGGAGGGTGTTCCTGATGTCTACTGAATGCAGTCTCTCCTGAAGTCCGGTGGGGCTCTGGCCTCCGTCCACACACCCATCAGCCGTCTCCCTTGACCTGTGTGGCGCAGCCGCCACCTGTGACGGGTGTCCCGACTCCTCCCTGACCTTCATCGCTCCGTCACTCATCACCAGCGCCGAGTGTGCTGCCCAAACCCGTCTCAGGCACGTTTCCTCCATCTGCACCTCCACCATCACTCCTGCACCTGCCTCGCGCCTCCAGCCTCGCTCCCCTTCAAGTCATCCAACCACAGTCACCGGAGTATCCTCTACAATTTGAATTTGACAAACATGTGGCCCAGGGATGAGCCCCAGCCACTCCCAGCCTGGAACTTCCAACAGCCCCCATTTATGCTCCTCTCACTGAAGCACAGCCTTAAGAGCAGACAGACCTCAGCCTCACCACCCGCTTAACGATGCTTTCACTCACCTGTGGATTAAAGTCAGCAAAAGTCAACGCTGAATTTAGTAAGTAACTTATGAACCACAAAACTGTGCCAGCCCCTAACGCTTCTAAGACCTTAGGGAGTGAAAGTAAGCTCCCCCTTCCAACGCACTCAGAGCAGAGCAGACCTGCCCAAGAGGGGCCGGTCCCAGCCTTGAACACAGGAGCCACACGCCCCTAAGAGGAAAGAGCCCTGGTCACAGGCAAGGACTGTCGACAAGTACGAGCTGCTCCAGGCCACGTTCAAGTCTAAGGGTTGTCTGGACAAGTGACAGACAGCAGGACCAGCAACAGCACGAGGGGTCAGCCCGCCCCACCACGCCCCTCTCCAGCACACCAGTCTCGAGGAGACGCCCCACGGCCGGCCAGGAACACAAAGCAGATCCAAGCAGAGGCGAGTCGATGCCACCGTCTCCCTCTTAGCCATGGGCATCTACAACAAAGGGCCTCTACTTTCAGATGCAGATCTTCTGAGGTCTTACAGGCTGGTGGTTCATGGGAGATCTGGGTACACAAGGCTTCCTGCAGGAGCCGCTGGGCCTTCCCACGACTTCAGCACCAGCCGGCTGGGGTGTGAGCTGGAGCACAAGCCTCAGACTGGATGACGAGACTGTCCAGCGTGGCCTGCCCCGAGCCTGCGCTGAAGTCTTGTGCCGGGGGGCAGGGAATTCTTGCTTCTCTTTCCCTAGATAACCCAGGAGCCACGTGGAGTAAGTGCCAAAACAATACAGAATTTAGCAAAGAGAAAAAAACACTCTCGTTTACCTTTGAGGGATCGTAAGACACCAGACACTCCTTCCTATGTTAAATGAGCTGTATTTCAAATGTCACAAAAGCCTTACAAGATGTGCACCCTTAGCTCTGATTTGCAGACAAGGAAACTCAAACACAAAGAGAAAAGGGAACCCGGCCAGGTCACACGGCTCACAGGCACAGGGGCACAGGGGCTGTCTCTGGGAAGTGGGAGCCTGCTGTCTGTGCTTTCCCCACACCCCCGGTGCACACAGACACTCACAGAAAGCGCGAACAGAGAAGGAGTCTTAAAATCAAATCTTCATTGGACTGATTTCTCACCTACCCAGCCTATTTGCTCTTCAATTCTGTATTAACACAGAACCAGGAATATATTTCACGTGGAAGATGCAGAGATTAAAAATCCGTGTTTTCTGCATCTAAAAGTTTTTTGTAAGGATAGATCTATTCCACCTTATTAATTCTGATGAAGCATTAAATCTGGTTTGGTTCTCTGATTACTCTAGCTTTGCCTTGAAAAGCTGCTCCGAAACCTGAACAATATGAAAGGTAATCTTCACTTGGATACAACAATGTAATGAGATCACTTTATTTTCATTTACTCTTCCATGATACAGGAAAACATAACAGAAATTAGTTTAGGACTGAAGGCAGTGAATAACACTGCCAGGAGTAAATGAGAAAGAAAGATTATTAATTAAGCTGTCACTGTTTTCAGAAACATCCCAATTCTAGACAGAGAGCAGAGGGATGAAGTTTGAAGTAACCTGTTTTTTTGTTTAAATTAATGGACATCGGACGTAAGATTTTACGTTTTACCGGCAGGTTTTAGCTAGGAGAAATCTGGAAATGCTAACTGATTCCTTTTTTGAGCAAAATTACAGAACCTTAGAGAGCATGCAGAGAACAGAGGTCGAAACCATAAGCGTGTGTACGAGACCACACGCTGTCACAGGCCTGGGCACGGCGGGCACAGAAGGAGAAGTCACCAACACTCCCTCTGGTTAAAAATACACATGCCTGTATTTCAGGTTCAGACTTAGGTTAAAGGTTCTTTACCTTGGCCTAGATTAATTTCAAAAAGACATTCTGTAGATAGTATCTAAATTCTCAAAAATTTAAAAGGTTTCAATATATCCTAAGTCTGCTTGGTGGATCTGAAGGTGGGCCTAATGTGCACAGCAACTTTTTGAGATTTTTCGCTAAATCAAAGGTTAAAATGTTTACAAAGAGCACAAGCACAGACACTAACAAATCTTCACTATTTATTATATGAGAGAAGGCTTCAATTGCGGCCTCCACCAAACCAAGGAACAAAAGGAAACCGTTTCAAAAAGCAGACTGATTTTGAGGTCTGCGGGCGCGATGTCAGAGCAGGAGGGAAGTGGGCTGGGACGTCACAAGGCCACAGCAAGCACGCCTCACGTGGAAGACCCTGGGCTTCCCACTTCTCTTCGGAGCACTAACACAATCACAGCAGAGCAGCAGGATCCCTTACGGGAACACTGAGGTTCTTACTGAGGTACTCATCTAGACACAAGAAAGTTTATTCTCACGTGTCAAACAAATGATGACGTACTGCAAAAAGCCTGAGGCTAACAATTCAAGTTAAAGGACTTAAACTCCAAGCCAGAGCTGGAAGCGAGCGCCCCTCAGAGCACAGAGGACGTGGAGAGGGCGACGTGGGCATGTGCACTCAGCCCAGGCCTGGCCAACGGATCAGCTCTGTCACCAGACAGTGTGGAGTTCTTCACAAAGAATCCATCTAAAGACAGCATTGTCTTTGGTTAAAAGATACCTAAATCAGAGTTAGTACCGGCAAAAGACAAAAGCAAAATACAAATGGCTGTTTTACTTTAGATTTTTAAGAAGACTTTGTGTTCTCAGATACTCATTCTTTAAGTTAGAATGAATTTAATCCAAGGTAGAAATAATATTTAACTGCGTACAGTTGGGGATAGAAAAGGGGGGCCAGATATAACACATGAAAAGCACCAGTGAGCTGTGTTTTCAGCACTAGAGAGTTGTTGCTATGTTCTAAAACTTCGGTAATGCTAGGCTGTTTTTATTAGAAAACGGAAGAACAAGCAGCACTCTTTAAAGGGGGGCACACGCAGCGACAGGGCCTCGGGCACGGGCACGGGCACGGCAGGGCGGCCTCGCAGGCAGACTGACGGCGCAGCAGTCTGCGACCAGGACAGTCAGAAACAACCTCAGAGTCTCCACTCCCAGGAGGATGGGCGAGTCCACTGCGATAACTTCATACAACGGAGCACTTCAGAGAAGGGACAAACGGAACAACAGTTACATGTACGTCCACCTGGAACAACGTCCTAAACCAGCGTAAAGCCAAAAAGGCTGCAGAAGGGCATGCAAGTAAGGAGCAGGACAGCCGTCACGAAAAATGTCACAGCGCGCAGAACGCTGCGCCTTGTTTTAATGATGCAAACGTAAGCAGCAAAACTGTCCAGAGACGCAGTAGCAGTTTAACCTCCAATTCAGAACAGAGGTTACCACCAGTGACAAGAAAGGGAGAGAAAAGAAAGAAAAGTCCCCGACATTCCCTCTCCGCGGCTACGTGGCTTTTACGTCAACTTCGAAACTGGTTCAGGTTTCAATGTTCTCTCTCCTGTGGCGTGCACTACACACGCCCCGAACCCACTCAGGGTGACAGTGAGAGCCGCCGCCCTCCCGGCCTCTCTCCAAGCACCGTCCCACGCCCACACGCTCCAGCAGCACGCCGGGCACCTGCAGCCCCAGCCCCTCTGCCTGCAGCAGCTGTCCCGGACCTGGCCCACTCCCTCTCCTTCCTCCAGACGCCCCCACCACGGGGACTCCCCGACCACCCTGCTACAATATCCCCGTCATTCTCGACCCCCCGTCCTGCTTCCCGTTTTCTCTTCACAGCTCATAGCAGGCTTCCTGCCACCACAGCGCCTTTGACACTGCCTTGCTCCCCCAGAGAAAAGCTCCTTCAGGACAGGGCTTTGTCTTTACTCACCACTTACTTACTCACAGCACTGCTGGACACAGACGAACTCAATGTTGGCTGATCAAAGAACGGAGTATTTCATTCTATACAAATTTCAACCCATTCTTTCCTATTTACTTTAATATATAAAACTTTAGTGTTATTAAATACCTTTCCTAAACACCATTTTCAAAGTGACACAGTAACACAGTATTCCAACATATGCATGACATATACAGCATGGTTAATTCACTGCCTGATTTGACTTTTCAAATAATTCTTGTCATCAAAAGTAGTAACAGACATTAGTAAACACATTGTTTAGACTTTGTGACCAGCCATTATCTGAGATAAATTCCTCAAATAAAAATGCTGAATCCATTTTACGGTATTTATCTATCTATCTATCTCACCACACTATCCTCCACCAAGGCTCCATGGAGTCATGTTTACACAACAGTGGATGAGGACCCACTGCTTTACATCATCACCAACGTCTCTTTCAGTCTGGCTCGTAAGGGGAAAAGGTACTCGTTTGTGCAGTAATTTTGTATTTATATTACACGAAGTTGCTTTCATTGCTCAGATCCACGCTACCCTGCAGTCTGTGTGAACAGGAACAGGAGAGGGAGAGGCTGGCTCAACCTGTCCTGTCAACTTGACTTCTACCTAGTCTCCTAGTCCTCCCTGCGGTGTCTGTGAGGACAGCCCCTGTGGACGCAGAGCTGCACAAACCACAACAGGTCAGCTCAAGAGCACGCGGCTCCGGCGCCCAGCTCTGAGGGCAGAGCCTGGTGGGAAACCTGGGTGCTGCACTGCTCTCTTGCTATGGCAGTAATTTCACTCACTACGTTTCCTTGCCCAGATTATGCTGGTAATCTGCCCAGAAGGGAGCAAACCAAAGGAAGCAGCACCTTTTTCCAGGTGAAAGGAAGGAAGGAGACATACACTTTACCTCCATAAACACAAAATTAATGAAAACTATCAGAAACAGCATAAAACCTTCAAGAAAGCATGTTTGAAATGGAAATATTCAATGACCAACATTATCTGCTCTTCAAAAAAATGTTACACCTCACGCTGTCCACCAGAAACTGTCAGAATGTCAGTGAGATACTTCAGAACTGTCACCAGCAAAGCCTGCCATTAGTCAGCATGTCAGAGAGTCACTGAGCAGACCCTGCGGACTCACACCATCAATTCCCAGCAACCAGCACAGCAGGGAGCTGGGCTGGGGACCCAGGCCTGCCACCCGGAGGCAAAACAGGAACCCCCGGCCCGCCGCCAGCAGAAGTGCTCTGGAACTGCCCCGGCGCACCTAGAGCAGCGGCTGCCCTCACACGCCTGCAGAGGACTCCGGAAAACCTCCTGACAAAAGCTCAGTGACACACAGCGACAACATCACATTTTAAAAATCTGATCAATTTATCTTTTAACTATCTCAGCTCTTAAAACTGTATCTTAAATATTTAACAATTTAACTTAATTTCAAAAATCTTCTTTTACCAGAGGAGCCCAGTAGGTGTAGAGATAGCCTATTTTCAATGCTGGTACAAACTGTGAGCAGGATACTACCAGAAAATAGAGATTCAAGAAAAACTTGAATTGTTCATATAAAACCTAAAAAGAAAAAGAAAAAATTAACATAATCTCTTCTAGGAAAATCTTTAAACCTTAATTAAAATAATTAAAATCAGCATAATATCTAAATACTTTTCCATCGAACAGTGAGACTATGCCGAGTCACAATATATTTATTAACTTTGACTGTGGCTTTCTAATAACTAAATTACAAAAAAAAAGAGGTAAGATTATCCCCAAATTATATTTAAAATAAACTAAAAAAAAAGACATTTAAAACTTTCAACTACATCTAAAAGTTTTTTCCTTTCTTGAATACAATTTTCCAGCTTTCCACACTCACCTTCTGTAGATCTTTATATGAACGTCAAACAAATGAGACAGGAAAACCTTCCCAATGTTATTAAGTCAGTAAACATACATATACAAATGTATCTCTTCATACCAAATCAGAAGTATCTAAACAAGTGGTCCTAACCTTATATTTATGAAATGGTAAACAATGAAGTATGAAAGCCATGTTTTTGACAATGGACATCCAGGCAGCTTTACAGAACACTGCCTGAACAAGCAAATCACATGTAGGCAAAAATTCACAAACGACTTTAACCTCCTGTATTTACTTCCCTCAAAGTATAAGAGATGATAAAATAGAAAAATGTGTAAATTATAGACCAATTTTCAGGAAGACAGTTACCTGCATATTCTTTAGAATCTTTTGGTAATGGATCTTTAGTATTTTCAAATATAACATAAATAAAAATAGTCATTCAATAAAATCTTCTAGAAATGCAAATCCAGTAACTTTTTGGTTTTGTTTCTTAATTCAAATAGAATTATCATTAAGAAAGAAAACCCAAGATCTAGTATATTAATAGACTTCTATTCACAAATGCCTCAAATCAGATTTAAGCTGAAAATCAAAATGGAACAAAACTCATGTTTATAGATGAGAATAACTCAAATAGCATACTGTAATTACAATAAACTTACAAACTTGCAAATTGCAAATCAAAATCTCCTGGGATGCCATTTTTAATGCAACTTGGAAGGCATGGAAACTTTAACAAGAGCAGAGCAATGGGTTAAGTACTTATTGTTGACTTAGAGGGTCTGGAACTGTAGTTTGTATATAATGAAGTTATCCACATCATCACAAAGTCATGTGTGTGACTGAAAAATCAGTTACATTGATAATACATCTATATTCATAATCACATTCAATTGCTGTCTAAAACTGTTTTGAATCATTTCATAAATTAATCTCAGCAGGAGAGAAGGTTCTCTTTTTCCTCAGTGATTTCTTTAAAATCTCAGTTAGCATAAATTATATCTATTAGCAATTCAGAAATTGCCATTCGTGCTAAAAATGGCATAGATTCCTACTGTGCAATTACCAAATGTTTCTAAAATACTACGTTTTAGATGAAAAGACTAATTTAAGAGACAATCTAAGAAAAAAGTCATTCCTACGGTAACAGTTGTACAGACACACCAACAGGTCTCTTCAGGACAGCCATCCTGGCAGGCTGTGTGAACTAACTCGGATCAAAACTCAGCTGCACTGCCCACTTTTAGACCACCGCAATCAAGACTGCCGTCTGCTGAGTGAACTCTGTGGCCTTTAGGAAAATGTACAGCACATAGCCAATCTGTGAGTATTTAATAATTTAAACCTAATGAGAAAACGGTAGCTTCACTCAATAAAGGTAAGAATGTTCACCCGTCTGACGGACAGTTTACACCTGCCTGTCCTGACAGAAGGTCAGTCTTTCAGTTATGGAGCCACGAGTTTTGTGTGTTCTAATAAAGGCGCAGGCTAGATACCAAGCATCTGCCGATACCAGATGCCTGGGGCAGGCGGTGAGGGGTAATCAATGCCCAACAAAAAGTCAGCATAATTATTAAAATAAACACAGCAAAGACAAAGCAGCCCCCATTTCACGTAATCAAGCGATCTTTCTGCAAAACAGCAGAAGAGCTAATCCCTAGGACGTGTCAAAAACTTAGATATGGAAATACAATCAGTACCAGCTTTCTTTTGCCTTCAGAAAAATAAATATATCTACTAAAATGGGCAATGATGCACAACAAGCAAAAATTATTCAACTACTCTAAACACACATAATCTCAGTTTTATCATTTAAGCCAGAAATATCATTGGAACCAAAAAAAATCAAAATACTTAAACTTGAAAATTTAAATTCAGCATAATACCTAATCAAAGACAACTTCTGCTGTAACAGCACAGCAAGGGCTGGAACATACGTTGCTGAGGAGAAGAGATGTCTGTGGCTGCCTGTAGGCACTGCTGCCGACTCACGCTTGTGTAAAGCCACTTCCACGGCGAAAGGCTGGACAGGCTTCAGCCATCATGTGCATCCCGCTTTTCCCTCCAAACAGATTCCCAGGCAAATAAAGTTTACGACTTATTTTCTGTTAATTTGATTTAGTTTTACTTGGTTATTTCTACAATATAAATGTGATGTTTACCTGGAATTGAAGGCAATAATCTAACTATAAATGTTCTTAAGCTGAATTCTATGATGTGGCTATTAAAATGTATATTTAACAATTACACGAAACACCATGGTTCAGAAGCAAAAGGACTCTGGTCTGGCTACGACAGAATGAGCAAGAGGAAAACGAAAGCAGAGGAATCAGCAATCTCTGATTGGTAACTCGTTTTTAAGAACTTGGTGGTCTTACCCCAGGTATAAAGGTAAATACATTGTATTTTTGATTTTTTATAGAATTTCTGGGATGTTTTTCTTCACACTTTTCCGGATATCCAAGCCACACTGTGCGAGCTTTCAGTTCTCTCTTTCTTTGACAAATATTTATCAGCCAATCACAGCAACTGCATGAAACAAAAAATACACATTGTGTGTGCTTTTTTAAAAGTTTTTAAATTAATTCTGCATATCTAGAGCCCACAGTGATCGCTTCTGTATTTACCAGACTCCAACAGCACATCTACCGCTAATCTGCAGGACTTTTCTTAAAATAGGTCAGCTGTACTAACTTAAGTTTGACATAGAAACACTGAAAGGCTTGAGTGAGCGTACAGTGACTTCTAGAACCTCAGGGAAATTACCTTCCCTGGTGAGACCCTCTGCTTGGCAAAGCCAAACCTTTAGCATTCTGAAGCAGTCAAAGCCTTACATTCTGAGGGAAGAATTGCCACATATGTGTTATTGGCAATTCCCAGTACACACTCGGTGATCTGATGACAAAGGCTCTCAGATGTCAATTAATTAGGATGCGACCCTCTCTTCTCCCTGGCAGTCACTTTTTTCCTTCCTTAAAAGATGACTTTTCTAGTGGCGTTAATATAAAATGAAGACTTAAGCTCCATTCAATATTTAGAAAGGATCCTAATGTTTAACGGAATATTCTAATTGTAATAAAAGCTTGATTGCATTTTCATACAGCTATCTTCATCTATGCAATAAACATTTTAATTATAAATCTACCCTTGTTCCAACAGTGCCAGGTTCCAGGAGCACAAACTCTTCCCCTTCCTGGACTTCCAAACCACTACTTTTGAGCAGAGAGGATAAAGTTTCTAGGAGGATAACCTGCCTCAAAATACTTCAGAAAATGATGAAAAGACATTAAATTTACCTCTATTAAGCTTAAAATAATCATGAATTTAAACTTCAGTATTAATAATTCAGTTTAAATAAAATTTCTAAAATGCAGAGGCTCAGAATGGTTTATTAAGGGAAGAGAAGTTGTTAAACATCACCTTCTAGACGTAGTCAAGGCTAGAACAGCAAACTAGAAGGATAAGACAGACACTCCTAACTTTGTGACAAGTAAGCTCAAAAGTTAACATAAAGTTCTGCATGACAAGGACAGTCTTAGAATGTATGATTACAAAATGAGGTTGACATATCAGGACTTACATCGCAAAATCACTGCATGTCTTCTCTTTACTCCAGTCATTCTGACATGATTCTTTAGAAATCACCTTACACTCAGACCTGTTACTTTATAAGTCACTCCCAGTAGCATCCTGTACGAGGGATGCATGTGTTTAAACTGAAGTCTGCATCACCCTACTGAATATCCACCTAACTCTTGGCTGTGTTTTAAAGATCCTCAGTCTGGAAGGAGGGGGTCTGCCCTCTGGAAGCTCCCAGTCCTCCCAGTGGGCATTGTCGCCTGAAGGAGCCTCAAGCATTGCTCCCTTGTGGGCCTACCCAACCCACATGGGGCTGAGGAAAGCCACATGAATGCGGCGCAGGTCAGCTCTGAAACTTCCCCAAACTCTGCCTTCTGCTTCAACCAGAGCAGATAAGACTCAACTCTGTAAGAACAGAAATTTTTCATCACTGCTTGCCCTCACTGTTAAAAAAATAAATCAAAACGAACAGCATCTCCACACATAAAGAATACTTATAAATTCCCAACAGTTGTGAACCACAGTACTATCAAATGATTTAAGACAGTCAAAATAAGTATTCCCACCCTTACCGGGCTTTGGTGTGGGGGAAGGGGGCTGGACAAGTTGACCTCGGTAAATGTTGGTAATATCTGACCTTGTTTCTGCTCAAATGAAACAAAATTAAGTCTTCAAATACAAGATAATAAGCTTCAGAGTACTATTTCTCACTTTCCTGTTGCTTTTACAGTAGGACCTGGACCCCCTTACAAGGATGCTTCCCTCCAGCCCAACCCACCTTAACCCGCGGATGCAAAACCATACTGTTCAACGTCTGCCTCTCCCAGAGTCACGGCCCCAAACAACCCAGCGTCCACAAGGGCCCTTCCCCCAGCGCTTCCCAGCAGCAGGTCTGAAGGGCCCATCTCCACCCTGCCACACCAGGCACTCCCGGTCTTGGACACCTGCAACCCCACGCCACAGATGCCAAAAGCTCCCACGTCTCACGTGAGAGAAGACCGGAGGCCAGAGAGCTGAGTGATTCCCCAAGTGAAACGGCTCAGCAGAGCTGAGACCAGAGCCCGAGACCGAGCCCGAGCCCCGCCTCCCTCTGGTGCTCTCCCCGCACCACCGCAGGGCTTCCAAGGTGTAACTGAATTATTTGCAACATTTTGCTACTAATAACTACAAACAAATCAAAGTCTTCTTACTATTTCCTCATGTGAAGACAGAACCGCATAGTAGTTAGGGAGCCACCATTAAATCACACACTACTTCACAAAACTAAATGAATACAGAGGCTTGAAGTTTTAAAAGCCTGGGGCTCCACCAGAACCACCACCGGATTATGCAGACAGAAACTAACTACCAGAAAGAGAAGGCAAGTGACTTTAGGGCTAAGAGCAAAGGACAAAAACCCCCAAAATAAAGAAGATACTTGTAACCAAAAAAGCCGTACGTGTAAGCCTGACTGAACTGCAGAGCTAAGGAGGAGAACAAAAGTATAGGTGATTGTTGAGGGCAAAGTAATATGAGTAAAACATGCTGGCAAACACCAGTGAGTGAGAGGGAGAACCAGAGAAAGCCCTGGAGGAGAGGAACCCAGAGCTTTACCTAGGGACATTTCTATGCACACTGAACATTTTCCACAGCACTGATTATTCAGAATCAGTATATAAACCACCTTACAATGTCAAGTCAAACTGAAACTAAATCCAATAGTGCATAAAATACACTTTTCTCTTAAAACATTTTAGGATTGGTAGCTTTTCACAAATGCCTCCATAATCAAAGTAGCACTCTAAAATTAAATAAAGCATCTTTACATGCCAAGATCCCGTCTTCTAAAATTTTAAGTTGCCACAATAACTCCCAAAATCTAGACAGCACCCTTCCAAAAACAAAAATGATCATATCCAACAGGCACCTTTGGTCACCAAGCCAAGAACAACACAGCACTGATGTCCCCTCATAAGACGAGCGTTTGCCCACGCTTCTGCACGCCAAGTGTGCAGCGGGTAACTGCAAGTGCAGAGACCCTTCAGAACCGGGGTAATCCCAGCACCTGATACTCCCAACCCTTCACATGGAAATGCCATTCGGGGGCTCCACTTGGGAAAGGACAGAGTGATTTCTGACAGCGAGTGAAATGTAAATCTCGCAAGAAAGGCATAACTGCTCCACCCCTCCAGAGAACTACCTATTAGTACACGTCACGGTAAGTCACATGAAGGACATCTATAGTTTTAGAAGACAGGTGACAGGAAAGTATTTTCAACGTATCAGAGTTGGAATTTTTGCCATATGATAAAAACGAGAAAGCAGTTCTTCAGCCGTGAAGAAATTATAGGCTACTCAACCTCTGAAATTAAAAGTAATTTTAAAATAAGCCTTACTCTTCACAGAATCTATAAATAGAAACACATTGAAATATTTACAACTCATTAATATTATTTGCTATCTACCTTTACCACAACATTCACTAACATTCTCCTCCTGCAATTAAACCAATTTTGTATCTCTTCTACTCTGATCCATCATCTAACAATCTTAGTAACGCAATTTTATAATAGCTGGTATCCAGAAAATAGGTTGGCAAATATTCAAAACTGGAAATTTATAAGAAATAAAGAAAAGAAGACCAATCTAAGTTGCTAAATGTACTATTTGTTCTGTAAGGGGAAGTTTTTAATTTCCATGAGAGTTTCTTGGGCACAGGTGCCCAGTGAACAAGAGAGGAGCATGGCAGCACCTCGAGCCACGAAAAAGGAGACGTCCACTGGCGAGCGCCACACCAACGGGGAGAAGCCCGTCACGACAGGCCAGTGAGCTGCTCCAAAGGGTCACAGCTCACTGAGCCAAAGACTGCATGCATGTGTCTAGTATATTACTGAGTGGTTTTAATGCTCCCAAAACATGGGAGCTTTTGCTGCCAACATCTACATTTTCAAGTATGTTCTTGATATTTTCCTTAAGCAAGGGAATATTATAAACAAAATCCGAAATTTGGCTATGTTGCATTTGGTAGAAACAAAATCCCGTAAAAGACCAAAAATAATTAATTCAAAGAAGTATTCAGCATTCAACAACGTCCACACTCCTCGGCAGTATCTGACTGTTACAGGGAAGTGCCGCTTCCAAGCACACCAGGCCCCCGGGAAGCCCACACACTGACATGAGACCGTCCACGTCCTCACCGCTCCGTGCCCAGCAGTACTCACCTCCTCAGGGTTCTCAGCGACTTTCTGTTATCCAGGAATTCTCTTCACCCACCAGATACAGATCCTGGGCCTTCTGGTCCCAGTGACCTGCAGGTGGTTCCCTTCAGGATGGTGAGCACAGGCGTTCACACAGCCGGGAGCCAGGCCCCATCCCGTCGGGGCACACCTCCTGTCCTGGCATCACTCGCAGCCCAGAGAGCAAAGAGCGAGGGCCCTGGCTTGTCAAGCCCGACTCAGGCGCAGGCCCTCCACTACCACGAGAGGGGCTCTGCAGTCCTTGGCTGTAACAGTGGTGAGACAGTTCATCTCAAAGAGCACCCCCCCACCCCTACTCAGGAACACGCACCTCTGACCTGCATACCACAGCCATCACACCGTAACCGCGGCACCACCCAAGCTCCTCTGCTGCAGCTGCGTCCGCAGCCACACACCGGCCACCATCCCACCGCAGCGACCCTCCCCCCCCCCACAGCCGCTTTTGTAACTGCTCAGGTCTTTCCCTGATGGACAAACAGTAATAACATTATGCCAGGCTCAATACAAATGCATGATTATTGATTCTTCCCTTTGTTGATTATGGATGATCTCCACCTAAGCATGACCAATTCTCTAATTTTTTCAGCCCTCATCTGCACCCTGGACACCTCCTCACTTACAGGAACCCGTGCTCCAGTTAAGGATGAAAGTCGTCTTCACTACCTCACTCTTCCTCCCTGTTTCTTCTGGCACCTGAGAAGCCAGATCACTAGTCTTCCTTTCCAAACTGCCCTTTCCCCAGACGCCCCTCCCTTCACTCTCCACAGACCCAAACCACACATCCACTGACATTTTTAGGGACGCCATCCTTCCCAGTGGCCTCCACTGTCACAACAATAACGGCTCTCAAGCTTACTCTCCAGGTGGGTCTGACAGAACTGTTTGTATTAGATCCACTACAGGTAGATTTTTAAAAAGAAAACTGAATAGTTTTAGTTAAGCAATCAGTTAAAAAAAAAAGAACCTACAGGTCACATCACACTTACTAGTGACATACTGAAAGCTCTCTCCCTAGACTGGGAACCAGGCAAGGAGGGTGTGCACTCTCACCACCACCTCCCCATGTAGTGGTGTGTACTCCAACCAGTCCCCTAAGGCAAAAAAAAGAAAAAGAAAAGAAAAGACAAACGGATTGTAAAGGAAGAAACAGAACTATCCCTATTTGGAAATGACACGGCTATCTACACAGGGAACTCCAAGAAATCTACAAAAACACTCTTAGCACTAACAAGTGAGTTCGGCAAGGTTGTAGGATAAAAAATATACGAAAATCAACTATAGATCCATACATTAGCAATGAACACGTGGGAACCCAAATTTAAAATACCATACCAATTATAATCACTGAAAAAAAAAGAAAGAAAAAATACTTAGGAGCAAATTCAATATATACAGGACTTACTGCTGAAAACTACAAAATGCTGATTAAAAAAGATCAGAGTATCTAAAGAAATGGTGAGACATAGCATGTTCATGATCTAAAAGATTCAAAGCAGTAAAGATGTCAATCCCCCCCCCCAATTAACATATACAAGTTAAACACAATTCCTACCAAAATCCCAGAAAGGGTTTTGTAAGTATGGGCAAGATTACTCCAAAACTTCTACAGAAAGGCAGTGGAACTGAAGCTAAGAAAATTGTGAAAGAGAAAAATAAAATAGGAGGGATCAGTCTTCCCAATTTTCAGACTTAACAAAGGGACGTGCTGCAGACGGAGCGGCACTAGCAGGGCAGACACACAGACAACCAAGTGCAGCAGCGACCCTGGAGAGGGCCCAGAGAGCCCCACTCCTGCGCAGCCGACTGCCTGCCGCCACAGGCGCTAACAGAATCAGCAAGGAAGAGGGTCTCTCCAACCAGCAGTGCTGGAGCCAGAAATGAACCCCAAACTAAACCTGCTACCTTATAAGAAAATTACCAACAACAAAATGCAGAACTATAAAACTGTTAGGAAAAAACTGCCAAGACACAGTGCTTAGTGAAAAGTTTAGACATGTCACCAAAAGCACAATATAGACAAACAAAAAAAGAAAAAGGAACTCTCAAAATTCAACATTAAAAAAAACCGATCTAATTAGAAAGTGGAACAGACAAGAAGTGACATTTACGAAGAAGATACACGAATGGCAAACACGATGTACAACCTCACTGGTCATTTGGAAAATGCAGAAGACCACAATGAGCCATCACTACACACATATTGTAACAGCTAAAATAAAAAATAGTGACAACAACAAATGATGGCAAAGATGAAGAGATGCTGGGTTTCTCGCCAGCAGCCGGTGGGAATGTAAAATGGCACAGCCACCGTGGGCAGCAGTTTGCTAAGAAGCAAACATACATCTAACATCTAACCCAGCAATCGTACTCCTTGGCATCTATTTATCCCAGGGAAGTGAAAATGCATGTCCACACACACAAACTTGTACATGATTGTTCACAGCATGTTTACAGGATGTTAACGTGAATCTAACAGCGAGAAAAGATCAGACAAACCAAAATCTGAAACAGTCCATGAATACTCCCTCTGTAGCCCTCAAAAATGTCAACGACAAACACTAAGAACAACTCCAGATTAAAGGAGACTAACAGGGGTGTCACCTCAAGGCCACATCCTGTAGCAGAGAAAACGTGTGCTGCCGTGGGCATTATTGGGACAAGGGACAAGGCTGAATATGGACTTAAAGTAGGTGTAAAGAATGTAACAATGTTAAATTTCCTGAGTTTGGTAACTGTACAGATGGTTATGTAAGAAAACAACTTCTTCCTAAGAAATACACAAGGAAGTATTAAGATGTAAAGCAACCTAGTCTGAAATGACTCAGAAAATCACAGTGAGATAAAAACAGAATGATAAAATAAATCAAAAACATTAAAAATTGGTGAATCTGTGTGAGGGACAGGAATTCTCTGTACCATTCTACACTTTTCTGTAAGGTTGAATTTATTTCAAAATAAAAGTGAATTTATTTCAAGTTTGAACTTATTTCAAGGTAAAAGTTTAAAATTTCAAATGAGAAGAAAACACCAGAAGTTTGGCTCTCTGAAAAGAATAAAACTGGTAATAATAAGATAATAATCTCCTATCAAGATAAGTGAAAAAAGGGAGAGGGACACATCGTCAGCATCAGGGGTTTGGAAGACGCCGCCCCTGCAGAGCCTCACACACTAGCGAGACCATGGAGATTTAAATATAAACTTGAAAATAGATAAATCCCTTGAAAAGCACAAAGCATCACAACTGAAACAAGAAAACCAAAAACAAAGAAAATCTGTGTAATCCAATACCTGTTAAAGAAATTACCTCCAGAATTAAGTATGTACCCACAAGGAACACTTCAGGAATACTGGCTATTTAACCTAGAAAAAAACTTTTAAAGCCACTGACACACTATTAGTATCACAAGTCGGCAATTTCTAAAACATTGTTTAGCCATGAAATCCCCTCTTCATGTGAAAGCTTACACCAGATACGAAAGACGAAGCAGAGGCAACTCTGACCGCAGGCTGAAAGGGGCTGGTGAACCCACGTAGACCTGCCCTGAGACTCTATGCCGCCAGCCACTGAGGGGTTCCTCGGAGTCCCCGGGAGTCCGCTTCTGAATACCACCCACAAGCTGACCCAGAATTCGAATCAGTTGTAAGAACATACTTCTGCAAATGAAGGAACTGACTATAAACCCTGAACGCAGGAAGACTGTAGAAGCTATAACTTGCTGGACACAGGCCGCTCGTGACAGCACTGGTCAGCTGTAGTGTCGCCTGCCTGTCCCCGGGCTGGCAGGACGCCAGCGGCAAAGTGTCCCAGACTCCAAAGCCAAACGTGAACACACAGCATTAGCCTATCTCAGCCACCAGTGACCTTGCATAAAGGATGAGGGATTCTTATCTTCGTGGCTTTCTGGTTAAATTAACAGTAGAATATTATTCCACTTGAAGAATTAAAGTCAAACAACACTCACGGCTGCAGTGTTATTACACTGCAGTTTATAGGTCCACATCTACCTTTCTGGAGGAGAGGAGCCAGCTCTCCATATCTGGTTCTGCATCTGCAGATTCAACTAACCACGGGTCAAAAATATTCAGAAAAAATTCCAGAAAGTTCCAAAAAAGCAAAATTGAATTTGCCACATACCGGCAACTATTTACACAGCATTTACACTGTATTAGATATTGTAAGGAATCTAGAGACGATCTAAAGTAAACAGGGGATGTGTGCAGGCAACGTGCAAACACGAGGCCATTTTACACACGGGCTTGAGCATCCACATTTGGTACCTGCAGGGGTCCCAGAACCAACCCCCCAGATACCAAGTGACCGCTATATAATCACAGGTGGAAAAGAAAGGAACACAGTTTATCAATGTCAAGACAGTGACCAGAATTAACTCTACCAGATGCATTAATTACAATATCACTAACCTTCCCCATCTTTTAAACATTAAAGCTTCTCACAAAAAACTGAATTTAGTTTCCTGTCTCTTTCAGATGAGCGCTGTTTGGTTTTAACTAATGATACAAATATTCTTCATGTCATTTAGAGAGTAGCTTCCTTAGTTTGAATAGAAATAAATGTGTTTAGAAGTGAAGCTTATAAGCAACTAATAACCTCACAACGTAGGAAATTAGGCAGCAACAGATAACAAACCTGGTGCAGAGGAACTTCCATCCTCCGCAGACAAACCACTCCAGTCCTCTTTTTCGCTGTGTGACCCTGGCTCGCGGTAACGTGTGGTAATCACTTTCGTCATTCTCAAAGCCTTCTTCAGACATCATTAATGGCATTTCATCCAAATGGGCAGACTCATCTTCCAGTTGGTACCTGGATAAAGGTAAGAACAGAATGCTGAGGCCGGTCAAGCGGTCTTCAGTCTACATGAAGGCTTTCGTCTAGGGCAGGCGCTGGAGAGGCTAGAACGAAGCAGAGCCCTGAGGGGACACCCCCAGCACAAAGGCCTTCTACGTCCTCTGCCTCTTGTCTGTAGAAAAGCTGAAGTCTCCCAGGCCCCAGAGTCACAAAAGAGCAGGCGCAAGCAGCTAACGTCTAGGACAACAGAGTCAGGCTCAGTGTCGATACACATTCCTGAGTCGTTTTCCAGACACTGTAACTGCCAGCAGAGGGAAAAGCTACCTGCATGATGACCAGACTGCAGCCATGACGTCGGCTGCTCCATCTTGGGCGGGGCTGACTGGCCAGCACAAGCCCAGGAACTGGCTCAAGAGAACAGGGTTTGCACTCCTGCTCAGATCTTTCTCTTTATGGACATCAAAACACCTGGAGCTGGTTCTGTCTGTATACGGAAGCGGGCAACCAAAACTGTCAGCAGAGAGCTGCTTCAACCCACGTGGACATCTCTCACCCTAAGACCTCGATCCCCTTTCTAAGCTCGAAGCAGGAAGACGGACCCTCATCACCTCACCCCACAGAAATGGACTGACAGCTGATGGCGGGGGTGGGGGTGTGAATCTGCAAGCAGCTCTTTGCGGGAAACCGCCCTGAGAAGTCCCTTCTCTTGTCACTTCAGCACGGCTACGCTGTAACCAACCTTAAACCGGCGCCCCAAGCCCTATCATCTCCCGTCCAGGCACACTTGTCAGGTCTTTTGATCACACGATACCTCGCCTAACCTGCTGGTTCTTTCCATGAGCAGAGGTAGATGTGGAGAAGAAGTAACTAACGGATGACCGCGTCTCTTCCCTAGCCTCCCCTTCAGTAGCCTCGGAGCAAACTGTGTGAACAAGACAGCATCTAGAGACAGACGACGAGGAGCTGACGAGCCCACGCACGGGGGAGACAGCAGCGAGCCTGGGCCTCTGCCTCAGTGATGAGCTGAGATTACTTCCCTTTTCCTGTAAGACCTTCATGGCCAAGCAGAATCCCAGGAGCTGGCTTTGGAGGACACGAGTCCACATTCTCCCCCGACCGCCAGCTTTCTGAACAAAGGCAACTTCCCTTCCTACCAACAACTGCCCCGCGGGCACTGATCTTTGAGCGGGGAGCAGCCGGACCTGGATTTGGTACCACAGTTCGCAGGGAAAGGAATGTGTCACCCTGCCTCGCCAGCCCACAGTTTGCAGGGGAGGGAATGTGTTGCCAGTCCCCTCTCCAGCCCCCCCTTCCTGGGGACGCCCCACCCCAGCCCAGCAGGACTGCTGTCCACCTGCTGGGAAGCAGGCAGAGCCAGGAAAACGGGGCCTGGAGCCGGCAGTGAGGGAATGAGGGACCAGGGACGGAGCCTCAGGGCCCGGGAGGGCTGGGGACCAGCAGCTCCAGGCACCTGTGAGGGCTCTGAAGGGGTGCTGAAACAGGAATGGACTGAAAGCTACGAAAAAACACCCTGCTCCCCGCCAAGACCTCGGAAGCTCATCCTCTGGGGAAGGGAGGCTGTGCTGAAAGCAGAAGACTGAACAAAGCAAACGAGTGAACGTGTGAGCCACCACCCTCTCCCTCCCACTCCCTGCTTATCAATAATTCAGTGCTGAAGGGTTGCTGCTGAGGAGACGGACCCAGCGTCGGACAGTCACCGAAAGCTCAGACGGTCAGGCGCGAATCTACTCCATTCACACGCATTCACTGAATTCCTAGACACTTAACAGAGAATGTTACTACAAGAAAAGAAGCTCAAATGTCCACAAAGGTGAAACATACATATGATGGGATATTGCTCGGCTTTAAAAACGAAGGAAATTCTGACACAAGCCTCGAAGACATTATGCTCAGTGGAACAAGCCAGACACAGAAGACAAATCTTGAATGATTCCACTTGGATGAGGTCCCTGGAGCAGTCAAACTCATAGACAGAAGGCAGACAGAGGTTACCAGGGAATGGGGAGGGTGGGAGTTAGTGTTTAATGGACACAGAGTTTCAGTTTGGAAAGGTGGTGGGTTGTGTGGGTGACTGGTGGTGACGGCTGCACAACAATGTTAGTGTACATAATGCCCTTGTATTGTGCACTTAAAAATGGCCGAGATGGAGGGGGGAGGGTACAGCTCGGTGCTGAAGTGCATGGCACTCACAGGTCCTGGGTTCAAGTCCCAGTACCTCTGTGTAAAAAAATAAAAAACAAATAAACCTGAAATTACCCGGCCCCCCATGAAAAAGAAATTTTTAAAAAATGCCTAAGATGGTAACTCTTATGTATATTTTACCATAATTCTTTTAAAAGAAAAAAATTCTCTAGGTATTGTTGATGATACCCTGCTCCTCAGCAGCCAAGTCACCCCGGAGATGGATACTCCCTCATCTCGACCCACATCCCCGCCGTGCCAGGCTTTACTGGTACTCACCACAGAGGCCCCTCCTCAGTCAACGCGCTGCACTAGATACAGGTACCGTGGAGAAGCCAGATCCTTACACGTAGGGCAAGCTCACTCAAGAGAGCAGTGCTTCTGGGAACAGGTCTGTCAAGCAGACAACAAACCAGAAAGAAAAAGAACCCCTGAAGGCTGCTTAGACTGAGAAGCCCTGGGAAACGGATGGCTGAAGTCTACTGAGTCCTTACTATGGCCTGGCCCTCCAGAGGCCTGTATTCTGCATCATCAAAGAAGATAATTTTAAAGTAAATGAGAAACTGGGGGAAATATTTGCAGCACATGACAGAGAACGATTCTTCATAAGCGTTCTCACAAATCAATAAAAATCCATAAAGAAGCAAACACTTCAAATGATAGATGAACAAAGACAATTCACTAAGGAAGAAATACAGCTATACTTAACAAAATTATGTTCAACCACATTAGGATTTCAATAAACATCTGAGTGCCTACTGTGTGTCAGCACTGTCCCAAGCCCTGCAGGGACAGCAGCAAAGAGGAACACAAGCCCCTACTCACGTGCAGCTTAAGTACCTACAGGACAAAAACAAGAAGTGAACAGGCTATTTTCAAAGGGAGACGTGCTCAGAAGACGATAAAGGAAGCAGAAGAGAAGTGGCAGGTGGGGGCTTCCTTTGACCACCAAGGAAGCTGAGTCTCAAGAAGCCAACACCTGAATGAAGGTCTAGGAAGGCCCAGTCAGGGCTGCCGAGCCTGGAGGGCTCCAGGGGCAGAGAAAGCCCGACCAAGACAAAGAGTATGACTTGAATGCTAAGTGGAAGGGGATGTCAATGGAAGGCTGTAAACCTGGGGACAAACTTCGTTTTCAAAACATGCAAATTAAAACAACTGAAAAAAAAATTTAACATTTGGCATGGTCAACAGTCTCCAATAACCAGGCACTGTTAATTGCTGGTAAGAATGTAACAACTTTTTTGGAGAACAATTTAGGATGATTCATCAAAAGCACTTTTTTTTTTGTAATGTAATTAAACTTTAACCACAGGTCCTACTTATCTGTATACAAGATACAGCTCTGTGGATGACCATCACAGTGCTGCGCCGGTCACCCAAAAAGCATGGAAAACCCTCAATAGCAATGATGAGTGCTGCTTAGCATATGATGGAATACCGTATAGTCACCAAAAGTAAGAAAGTGAAGAACTCTAGCTGAAAGCAAATGTTAGGAGAAGCAGCAGTCACTGTGTTCGCCCCTCTCTGGAACACCTTCCTCCACTAAGCAAAAGCACACCCGTTTTAATCTCTCCATTTAATCCTCTACAAACCACTCCAACCACTGTCGATACCACCACACAACACCCTACAGCCAAGGGACTAATCATTTTAGATGGTTCAGGCAAAAATTCACATGATCTAAAACAGAATTAATGTTTTCCTCTCAAAACTTCCTTTTTCTTACTTCTGTCTTTTAAAACAGTCAACTAGAATTGACTGTTTATACAAAATGCAATTAAAATTCAAAACACTACTTAAAAATATTACACTACTGTATAACAAAATGAGATTTTTAGTCTTTTCCATTAAGTTTTCAGCAACTGTGTTGCATTTTAGCACAAGTCACAATCATACGGAGTTTAGTGCTGGAAAAGCAGGACAGTGAGTCTGAGAGACGATGAACACAGGCGGCACCGAGCTTGGTAACCCCTCGCCTTCACGAACGGAGCCTTTGAACCGGCAAGCAACTCACTCCACTTCCAAGGCAATTTTCCTATTGTACTGAAAAATTTATCTCAGTATTTAAAAACAATGAGATGATGAATAATGGATTTTTTCAGACAGGGTAAGCAGGGAATCTTAAGTGTCTTTGTTGCCTGGTGTCATACACATTTAATTGGTTTGTCACTCAAGAAAAATCAACGTTTCCAGCAATTAAGTATAATTCTGGAAACATATTTTTAAAATGAGTAAAAACAATGTGAACAAAGACGACAGAATGGATGATACTGAACCCAAGAGGACTGCGGAGCTAAGAACTGCACACAACCACCTCAGCTGCTGCCGAAGGTTTAAAACAAATGAGGAACTTTCAACAAGACGCTGAAGTACTGGAAGGTGCGTAATTCACACGTATCTAAGTAAAAGTAGTCAGTACAACAAGTATCTTAAACTCACGTTTTTAAGTTAAGCACCTAACGGCCTTATTGTTTCCATTTTGATGAGAAATACTTCTGAGACTGATACTAAAGGGCAAAAATGCTTAAACCTTCTTTAGGAAAAATAAATGCTCCCTCTTTGCTTGCATGTTAATAAAATAGAAAAACAAAGCAACAAAATGCTATAAAGAAATTGTGTATTTCCTTCATCAAACACAGCTTCCAAGTTCAACTGTGTCACTGATGAGTCATTAATAAGCAGGAGACCTGTCTGAACTACTGAGAAATCAGAACCCCTTCCCTCCTACAGCAGCAGAGGAGATAAACAATGGAATAGTTTAAAAAAAAATTAAAGGAACAGTGCCTGAGAAGCGTGTCTTCACCTTAGTGGCAAAAGCAAGCAATAAGGACAAAGATCAGTCA